GGCAGAAAAAAGATAAACGATGTTAGAAACGATAAGTTAAACAAATTCTTTTTTTTTATATATTTTTTTATTGTAATTACTATAGAATACAAATTTTTAATAATTCTAAGTCTAAAATCAGTTTGAAATATTTAATCGCGATAACTTCTCTGAGATAGACTGAAAGCACAACAGTATTTATATAAACTCAGCTTTCCTTAAGGCCAATGTCCACGTTAAAGCCAATGTTAGAAATTGGTCTGAGAGACCTCAAAGGAAGAAAGAATTGACCAATCGCATTGGTCATGTGACCAAATCATTCAAATGTGATTTGTAAATTTTTTCTCTATATGAAATCTTGATTGATTTCTAGCATAATAGACATTGGGCTTTAGGATATTAAACCTAACCTAAAATTATTGACGGTACACAAGTGTGACAATACAGAAAACGGATTTTTTATTGTCATCATGAACAAGATACGTCGTCTCGAGAGAACGTTAATGCATTTGCGATCTCTCGGCGTTCTGAGAGCGAGTTCCTCGTCCACGAGATGTTTTAGCACGAGTAAAGATTCAGAGGAACAAAGCAAGAATTCGTCTGTGGAATCCAATATCGAGAAGAAACCTGCAATACAAGTAAATGAGAATGCAGAAGCTGTTCAGGAATCTGAAGCGAAATTGAGTGGTTTTGCACGAAGTTACGAAAAATTCTCGCACATTGATGATAAAAAACCAGAAACGCCACAGACATTTGTTTCCTTAATTCGCAACTCCAAATTTGTCGATGTAAATTTCTCCTTTTCATAGTACGAACAGTTGTTTGACTGCTCTTTATTAAATACATAATTTTGTTTTCAGTTGGGTGATCCGGAAGGAAAAGTCGTAACTGGTGAGGTATATCACGTGGTTGGTGATGATCTGTATATTGATTTTGGATGGAAGTTCCACTGTGTTTGTCAAAGACCTGTCAAGAATGGACAGTACGTGTAAATCTATTTTTTTCCAAAATACATTGTATTTCCTAGATAACCAAGTCTGCTAAGATCATGTATTACTTTTTTTTGTGTGATACAAACTATGTTGACAGAACTCGAATAGTAGCCGAGCATCTGCCATCTCAGATAATGTTGGTAGAAATTTGTTTTTTGCATCGAAAACAAGTAGTTCCAATATCAACATATTATAAAAAATATTATTAAAAAATCCTGCAAAAATTAAGCAGAAATTTTTAACATAAAGCAGTACATTTTGAACATTGCATGCTAATACATGTCGTCGAAAACTATCAAAACTGAGCATAACGATATTATCATATTATACTAGCAAATGTCATCAGAAATCGAATTTATTTGCTTGCATGACGTAACGGCAATGAAAACATGGCAAAAATCAAACATGTTTCAAAAAGTAACAGCAAATACACAGCAGAAACATGGCACGGAAATGTTATATCGAACCATATTTCTTCCGTTTACCACTATTCAATATAACTATCAATATTTATTTCATATTTAAATTTTTGTCATGGTCAAATATAAAGACTGCAAAACGCAACGAGTGAAAATAAAAATGTGTAGTATTTTCCTATCAGTTTAATTTTTGATACAATTCCTATATAGAATTTAGAAGATTAAACTGATTTTTTAAAAACTGAGTAATAATTTCTGCTGTTTCTGCCATTAATAGTTGATATGATAGACTAATTGTAAGTCATCATCATGCACATTTTCTGTTGTATTTTTGCCGTTAGTGTCTAATATAACAAGCGATAATCTATTTTTGTCTATTTCTGATGTCAAATCATAAGTACATCATAGCTCATCATGCATGATTTCTGCTGTTTTTTTTTGCCATTAGTATCTGATATGATGAGCCATATTCTATTTTTGTATTCATATTTTTACCATCATATTATGACAAGATGTACTTCATTCTTGCTGCATTTCTGTTGTTATACTATGTTTGGCAAGTCATGATGACAAAAATCAAGCTTAAAGAAGATGCAGTAGACAGGAATCTGCTTTACAATTGTGATTTGCCGATATAACGCTAACATTTTGCTATCTGGATTGTTTAATGATATTTACTGTATATCAAATATATCTACTGATGAATATTGTCTTAAATATTGTTATAAATTTTGTTCTTTATATTAGATACTATGTGAGAGGATCTAAGGTTCGATTAAGGATAAAGGATTTGGAACTTTCCTCCAAGTTCTTAGGTGCTGAAACGGATATAACTCTTCTGGAAGCTGATTGTACTTTAATCGGCTTAATATCGTCACCTTTGAAAATGACAGAACAAAGAACGACAACCAGAAGACTGAGAATACGAGATATTTTGTAATTATTAACGTTAATTTTATAATATCTATGTTAAATAAACTATAAAATATTATATGATATGTATGTAAATAGCATATTTCCAGCAATTTTATATAAAGTAATATATAGTGTATATTACATCGTTCACAATCTAAGTTTCTGATTTTTTTTTAGAAATAATTGTCATTTTAGAGTTGCTTGCGGAAAAAGAACGAAATTAGAAACAAAAAAAAATATATTTTAAAAGAGCATTTAAAAGACATTTATCTTAAAAGAACTTAGTTTTTACATCAGTTTCATTTTTACAATCAGTTATTACATCAAAACTGCATTTCAGAATTAATATAAAGTATTGATTATAAAAATCATAATTTCTTGATAATTAATATAGTAAAATTTTAATGAAAATTTCAAAAACTTGTTTTCTGGAATTTGTTTTTGGGTAATTTTCAAATGAGCAATATGTGGCTCGAGCATGTATACTAAGTAGGTATCACAGTCGGTATCATTAGCTCGAATTAAATTTCGCGTAGGAACATTAGATGCCCCTCATAGTGAACATTATAATTCACTTCATCAGGCGAGCAGTCTGATACCAGAGAGAGGTTTCTCTCTGCTGATACTGAGTACCTATGCAACATTCACGAAACGTTGGCATTCTAAGGGCGGTATTGATACTATTGATAGATCTCATATTCAAGACTGTCTTAAGTACAATCTTAAGAAATCATGAACCAATCAGAGGGCTGTATTAGCATTAAGACATTATTTAAGACACTCTTGAAATAAGAATACTATTGCCCTATTCACATTCAGACCTTATATTTAAGGCTTTTTAAATTTATCTTCAGATGCTCTACGAATTATTTTATTAGCTACTGAGCATCTAAAGATAAATTTAAGGAAGTTTTAAATGTAAGATCTGACTATGAATACCGCCCTAAGAATGGATTTGTACACGGAGATAATCCACGAAACACATAATTTCTGTAAAGAAAGTACCCGTGGAAGCGTCAAGACTACGAAATGTATCAACGTTTTTTTATGCCTTCTTGGAAAATTCAAGCTGAAATCATGTATTGAAGCGTCAGTTTAATCGCTTATATCATCTTTTCGAATCGTTACTTGTTAGATATTTTTATTAGCAATCCTTTTCATTTCTGCGAGAAAGCAGCCGGGTGCATCTACAATGCAAGACAATTAGATTAGTTCATAACTAATACGATTATATCACTACGATTATGTCTTCTCAGCTTGTATTGCGTTTCTACTTAGTGCCAATTTTCCGGATCAACTTGTAGCGATCGCGGAACCGGTTTGCGATGAATGAAGTCAGCTTCATTGCAAGTTATTTGCTAATGATTATGGCGAAAGTATTGACGAAGATATCGAAAGCGCGGCACGAATAGTTAATTAATCCTCGTTGCGATTACAGCACTCATGTCAATACAATATGTATATAATTACTCTATGAAAAGGCGCGTTGGATCGACTAATTTCAACAAGTGTTGTCGTACACGCTTGTCACATACGCTTAAAAAGTCATTTTTAATTAGCGCTTGTCTTTGTAGGGTCAAAGATATTTTTATAATTCCGTTCCACTATTTTTAAAAGATGGATTCGTCAATTTGCCTCTCTTACAAAAATTTAATTCATTTTATTGGAAAGTATAGTAATTAATTACTTATTTTGAGCATTAATTAAGTACATATTGTGTCGTTCAGTGCTTTTAATACTCAAAATAATCACTACCTTCTAATATTAATTATTTTCTGTAATCTGGATGCAGATTGATGAATGTGTTTCATGTCTTTTATAAAAAAATAATAAGTTTAATTACTAACAAAGTTAAATATCTTCCTAAATAATAATGCTTTTAATACTCAAAATAAGCAATTAATTTTTTTTTCAGTAGTGAAAGAGCAATTTTGTTGAAAAATCTAAAAATTTTGGCTAGATACAGATCTGGAAGTAATTTTGTTGGATCATCGAAATAATTTTGCAATACTGCAAAATATTTTGATATTTTAGCAACCTTGTTTTGATCCAGCATAATCACTTTCAGATCTGTATTTAGTTAAAATCTTCAGGTTTTCAGCAAAATTGCTCTTTTGAACTTTGTTTTACAACTCACGGTTAACTCTTAACCGAGGTTCAACTTATTC